CATTTGCTTTACTACTTTTCTTTTACAAGTACCATCTGTTTCACTGAAAAAGGTATTATGAAAGAAAAGACCCAATTATAATAACAACAAGTAGACAAAATTCTTAGGGAAAAGCATAGTAAGAAATGAAGTGTATATGAAAAAAATAAGCAACAAAACTCTGTAAAAGAGTAGTATAATAAACTAATCCTATCAGATACTGAGCGATGATTAAATCAGCAAAGTACTGGTGCATTAATAGAAGGACCAATGGAAAAGAACAGAAATCCCAGAATAACCCTAAACACAACACAAAAGAAAATTCAGCAAATGATAAAAGTGACATTTCCAATCAGTTAAGGGAAGACAGCTGCAAAAGTTAATTTTGTGTGGTAATTTGGAGGGTGTTTTTGGATGGATTTAACAATTTAGAAGGGTGATTTAAGTCAAGCAGATTGTCTTCCATAATGTGAGTGGGCTTCATGCAATTATTCTGAAGACCACACTACAATAAAAAGATCAGCCTTCCTCAAGAAGAAGGATTTCAGCTGATGCCTTCTGACCTCATCTGTATCAGCAGCTCTCTGGGGTCTCCAGCCACCCAGCCACACTGCAGATTTTGGACTTGCCAGTGTTATTATAAATAACACTACACACACACACACACACACACACACACTTTGTTTCTCTGAAGAACTCTTAATACGATAATCTACATATGAAAAGATGGTTAAATAACCAGAGCCATTTAGAAAAAGCACATTAGGCTGAACCCTCTTCTCTCTTCCCAGACTGCAAGAAGTGAAACATAAACTGAATGTATGAGCCGGGCGCTGTGTCGCACACCTGTAATCCCAGCAGTTTGTGGAGGCTGAGGCAGGAGAATCACGGATTCAAAGCCAGCCTCAGCAACAGTGAAGTGCTAAGCAACTCGGTGAGACCACTGTCTCTAAATAAAATACAAAATAGAGCTGGGAATGTAGCTGGGTGGTCAAGTGCCCCTGAGTTCAATCCCTGGTATCCCCACTCCAGAAAAAAAATCCCCCCCAAAAAAAAACTTTAAAAAAAACTGAATGTATGAAAACACTATAAAAATTATATGGGAGAGTTGCTTCATGACCCTAAAAGTGTGGGAGGTCTTTTGAGCTCCCACCATAAATAAAATCCAGACATCATGTAAGAGATTAATAACTCTGACTACATGAAAAAAAATTTTTAATTTTATTTATTTTTATGTGGTGCTGAGGATCGAACCCAGTGCCTCGCATGTGCTAGGCAAGCGCTCTACCACTGAGCCACAGCCCCAGCCCACAGGAAAATTTTAAAACAAAAAAACCCTTCTGCATTACAAAAAAAAAAAAACCTGCCTTAACTAATGTCAAAAGACAAATAATATCCAATCGATAAATAAAGAATTTTCAAAAACCAATCTCAAGTGACCAGTAACTGAATTTTAAAAATCAAGATAAAAAGACAATAAATTTACAGTGCAGGAAAATTAGAAAACACAAATGCTTTTAAACAAATAAGACGACACTCATCATCACTCATAACAAGATAACTGTAAACTAAAACCCTATTATCAGATTGGCAAAAATCCAGAGGCTTTCATAAAATCACACCACCTTATGTACAGAGAACAGTCCTCTCACACCTAAATAGCAGAGTGTAAACTGGCGGACTCTGTGGAGTGCGACCTGGCAATATCTTCGAGAAGAGCAAACTTTGACCCAGCAAGTTGCTTTCAGGAATTTGTCCTACAGACATTACTGTGCTTATGAAATGGCACATAGTTAGTTTATCAGGGCAACATTGTTTGAATTGAAATAATCTAAATGACCATCAAAGAGAACTAGCTAAACATATTGTGGTATGTCCACAAAATGGAATAACTCTATAAAAAAAAAAAAATTGAGGGATCGCTCGTGTTCTCCTTTAAAGAGAGCTCCAGAAAATCCATTTAAATGAGTAGAAGAGAGAGATGACCAAAAAACAAAACACAAACAAATATAAAAACTATAAACAGAGTATGTACAGTACATTAAAATATACTATATTGGGTATAAAAACAGGGTAAAATTAAAGTATGGCATTTTGCAATCTCCAGAAAAACATACAATAAACTAATACAATGATTATCTAGCAAAAGGGCAAGGTAGGTAGTAAAGGGGGGAAGGAGAATTAAAATGGGTAAGGCACTTTTCTCTGTATCTTTTCCTTGTACTTTTAAAATTTTTGAAACACATGATTGTGTTGATTAACCAAAACATTAAACACATTACCAACTGGCTCAGTGGCACATACCTATAATCCAAACTACTCAGAAGACTGAGGCAGGAGGACTGCCAAATTTGAGGCCAGCAAAAGCAACTTAGGGAAACCCTGTCTAAAAATAAAAGTTAATGGGCTGGGGTTGTGGCTCAGTGGTAGAGCACTTGCCTGGCACATGTGAGGCACTGGGTTTGATCCTCAGCACCACATAAAAATAAATAAATAAATAAATTGTGTCTGCCTACAACTAAAAAAAAATTTTTTTAAGTAAATAAATATATTTAAAAAAAAAAACAAGTTAAAATTAAAAGGGTTGGGAATATTGCTCAGTGTTAAGAGTCCTTGCCTAGTATGAGGTCCTAGGTTCAATCCCTAGTACTGCCCCCCTCCAAAAAAAAATTTTAAAAATACGAAGTACGTATCTTAATGAACCCTAAAATTAGCTATTGTATACATCATTTTAACCAAAGTCATTATTTGCTGAGTGCCTTCTATGAAATCAACAGGTTTTATATAGAGAGAAAGAAAGTCTGTATGAAAGAATGTTCTTACTGTTATGAAATATTGATTGATCAAACTAAATACAGTTGAATTTACTAGGTTTTTAAATGTACATGAATTCAGTATTCTAAGTTCTTTATTAAAATTTGGCCTGGTTGTAATAATATTCTATTAGTATCTTTTATTTTGTTTTAGGATTGATTTTGGAGTATTATTTTAGTGTCAGAGATACCAACTGTATCTACAAAACTAGAACTCATTTCTTAGAGGGGAACGTCCCAGATCTACCTGGCCTTGTAACTCCCTAGACACCAGGACTGGTCCTGTCAAATCAGACCATCTGACTAAGTCAGTTAGATATCTTCAATTTCAACCCTTTTATCCTACAGGAGTATAATAAAACTTTAAAAAAAAAAAAACCCTCAGATATTCTATAGCTCGAGTTTGAACACAAAAAATTTAACACACTTTGAGGAATTCTGACTTTATTCAATATTCAATAAAAATGATCATATTCATAAGAATCATGATTCTCTAGTATTTCTTACCATAAAATTTACTGTATTTGAATCAATAAAATAATGGTACGATCAACGCACAAGACAGCCCTCAATTTAGCACATTAAAACAGTATTCATTACAGTAAGACTCTACCTGTACTGTGCTTTCAATATTTAAATGTGAAGGATATTAAATAACTAATTGCCATCTGCTGGAAGTCATCAGTGAATGCTTCATAAAGGAGCTTGGTCTTGAAGGAAATGACAGGCACTCAGAATCCTTAATCAAACTGGTTTTACAATCAGAGATTCATTTCAGCACACTAGAGTAAAATGAATAATGTAATCTCTCTACTGAGTCCTTAAATTTTGATGACATGACAAAACATTCTATGTCTACAGATAAGTTCAATAAGTCTCTAAAAGCCCCTTGAAAAAGCCTATAACTTTTCTATGGAAACCCCAGATACCAGTCTCTTTCACTTTAAAAGAGCTGATATTTGAAGTGCTTTAAAACATTCACACACTTTAATAAAAGCTAGACCAGACAGCTCTGAGATAATGCACCTCCCTACTGATAGAGGTTCTATATAACCCTAGCTATATTACCAAAATTTTGCAAACACACACACAGAAAGCAAAATTGTACAGAATCTTGAATCTTTCCTGCGGTTTTAACATGTTTTGTTTAAAGTCATAAACTCTCTTTAGAACCCTGTAATCAAAGTCACATGGGCGCTGACGCTAACAAATCCAAGAAAATAGTTAAGAAATCCACTAAATTGACCAAAATTTAAGCTCCATGTAGTTTTAGTTTTGGCTTATGATCAACAGTCTATTCAAGCTATAAAAGAAGCTCTTTAAAAATGAAAAAGTACACATCTTCTCTTTACTACCTCCACCCCAAAAAAGAGAGAAGAGGGGGAAAGATTAAAATGGAAAGCTGCATTTTGATGCTTATGACTGGCAGAGCTATGACAATCGCATTGTGTTCAGAGTGAAGAGTCCCTGCTCAGGACTTCACTGCACTTCACACCTAAGTGACAGTCTCTAAGACAACATGGAACTCAATCACTTTACCAAATACACATGTACTATTTTTCTTAATCATATAAACTCAAATATATTGCCCAATAACATAAAACAGTATTTTAATGAGGTTAATTTAAAGTAGAAACTTTTTACTTAACGCAGATGATTCCCATTAGTATTTTAATATATTATTACTGAAGTGATTATCTGTTTATAAGCTACATTTCTGTTTATAAGCAACATTTTCACCCAGTAGCGCTTAATAATAAAACAAACCTAAATAAAAAGTCAAGATAAAAATATCACGCATGTGCCAACAAGTAGGAACAGGCAAAAACCCTTTTCCTGAACAAGCCTTAACACAACAACAGAGCACTTTCTTGAAAGACTCAGAAGCCAAATGACAAATAACATGAAATGAGTGACAGTTTCTACTGTCACCAACCAGAAATGCAAGCAGCTATTAAACTAGTCACTTTTCCCACTCTTTAATCCCAAACATGCAAGAAAGAATGAAGGAATAAGGGGGTAGGGAGGAGGAAAGAGGAAGGGAGTTAGATTAGGCTATAGGTTTGCATGTTCTCAAAATTACCTTTGTTTTCTACTGAGAGCACAATTATTAAAATGGGACAGAAAGATTTTTCAGAGCATGATCTGCCTCTGAAAACAGGCCTGGAGGAGAAAACAAGCGCTGGGGAAGCAATGGGCTATGCTCACCTGCTGCGGCTGGTACCTCTGCTGGGACTGGGATGGCAGATACTGCGCCTGGGGCGGGAGATGCGGGGGCTGGGGCTGCTGGTTGTAATATGGCTGTTGGCCTTGTTGGCAGTAGCCACTCACACCTTGCTGTCCATACTGAGGTGGCATCTGTCAAAAAGTCAAGCAAAGCAAATGAGAAAATCAAAATGTGCAATTAAATGAAATCAAATAGGGTTTCAATTCAGTAACATGGTGTGAGCTCTTGGATAAGCAGTTGAATTCAATATTATTAATCCTCTCTTCATTACATAAATCAACATACTGCCTTCTCTTCACATACTATCAATGAAGTAAAAAAATTTTTGACTTTACCTTTAAAAATCATATTTTATCAGATAGCAAGTATTGAGAAAGCCATAAAAATCTAGTGAGAAAAGAAGCTACTAATACTGATATTTTACAAATGCCTCGGCTAAGAAAGTCAAAGAGGTATTATGTTAAGTCCATTCCCATGCAACAGTGTAAATATGAATTCACACAATCTATGTTAATTCATTGATATTTTGTAGGATGCCTGTGTTTTGAGTGCACCACACCGTGCATGTCTGTTTCCAAGTTCAGAATAACTAAAGTTAGAACATCCCAATTACATTTCTAACACGACGTGAGCCACTTACATTAGCAATTCCACTCACTATTTTTGCTAAAAAGAAATACATCCCTTTATCATCAAATGAAACCCTTTGAAAGCAATACCCCTTATAGTTTGGAGCTTAAATGTCCCTCAAACGCCCATGTGTTAGAGGCTTTTGTGTAAGAGAGGAGGCCTAGTGGAAGGTCTTGAAGTCACTCCAGCCATGCCCTTGAAGGGGACTGTGAGACTCCAGCACCTTTCTCACTCTCTTTTTGTTCGTGACCAGGAGGAAAGCAGTCTTACTCCACCCACATGTTCCTGCCATGATGGGTTGGCCTCACCAAAACTGTGAACCAAGAGAAACCTTCACTAAGTTGATAATTTCAGGTATTTCTTCTAATAGTGGAAAACTGACCAATGCAAATACATAGAAAACAATACTGTGGGTATCAAACCACCAATTCAGGTTCCTGAAGGAAATATATTCCTATCTAGTTGATAAAACAGGAAATAATAATTAATAAATAATAAAGCCCAATATAAATGAGAGAAATAGACCAAAATTTCCAAAACAGTCTTCTCCATCTTTAATTTACATGACCCTAAATATTTGTTAAAGCATTTTTCAGAGGAAAATCCTTCCTTGTGCAATCAATAGACCCTTAATAGTATTTTCAGATTTTTTAAAATGAGTATTTTTAAGTGTTTTAAAATAAGAAGTCTATTGATTTTCTTTTCCTCCTAATTAAAAGAGCAAGATAGGAAAAGAAAAACAAGATATCAGAACAGCAAAGAACACTCCAGAGCCAAGAATGGTGAAGTCATTCTGTTAATACCACAATATGGTTCCTTTGGGAACTCCAAGAACCTGAGCCCCATAAGCCCACACACTCGAGAAATTAACGAGTACCAGATACACGCATGAAAAGTCAAATTCAATATAGAAACACTGAATGAGGCAAAAGAAAGAATGACAAAGGAGGAAAACTTCTAAGACAAATTAGTACAGTATTTCTTTCAACGTAATCCAGATTATTTTTAAAATCTATCAGCAATTATCACAAACACCACGGCTCACAACACCTCTTATCATAAGGTGCCTGCAACATTAGAGCAGACGAGTTTGCAGTGAAAAGCCATTCAACAGCACGGTTAAATGCCTTGCTTTTATTTATTTTTCAGCTTGATATTTCATAATGCATGTATGTCCCTGCCACAAACCAAGCCAAAGAATTTCCATAAAATACAACTCCACAGGCTAGAACACTACACATCCTCCCGTTCAACACCCATATGTTTGATTTGATATCTAATACTATATTTCACACGAGCATCTTTGCAGTTTGATTTGAAGCAGTGAGGATAACACTTTTGCTAGTGTTAAAATGACTGTAAAGCTCAGTCAACACAGCCAGCAACTCCCCTAGGAGTTATGCTTGAATATGTTGACTTGCTGCTTTATGGAAACCCTTGCGCACAATATCAAAGTGTTCCTGGGTGGGGGGCTGTCTGTCAAGCAAGACAACAAGAGGACATATTGCAGGAACCTACTAACACCAGAACAGTCACACACTTACTAGACTCTTACTATGCATTCTAACTCTGGGATGTTTGGGGCAGGTCAGGGGGCCAGGGGGTTAGGGAAGGGCACAAATAAATCATCCACAGAGCTACCATAACTAGCAAAACTAAGCAAACTACAGAGGTAAAACCATGCTTAGGATCCCTAGTTGCTATCTTTAGCCATCAAACACGATCTGCCATCCTCTAAAGTATATGGTCTAATTCATTCCTTTGGGACCAACTTCACTGACACCTCTCTCTGTGAGCCTGGGATGAGGAAACCTAAGTTGATGTACAACTGGCTCTCCAGTGGATCTCGGTTAGAAATGCATGAATAGAAACCCAATTCCCACTGTCCCTTAGTTATCTGAATATGGTCAATCACAAAACTTGTCATAAATCTCCAACTGCAAAATGGGGTTATATTATTAATTATTAATAATTTCTTTATTAATTCATACTAATAGTGTAGTCAGAAATGTAATAATCCTACCTTGAAGTTTATACAGATACTATTATTACTTTTTAAATTTATAAATTATAGGGCTGTCTCTAACCTGTTAAACTATTTTCTAAGAGTAACCTTTAAAAGCCCATTTCCTAATATAATAAATATCTTCTGTAGGTGCCTGAACTAAGGTCTGGTTGGTTGGTTGGTTGGTTGGTTTGTTTGTTTTGGTGCCAGGGATTGAATCCTGGGTTCCTTAATCATTGAGCTACATCCAATCTTCAACCCTTTTTATTTTTTTATTTTGAGACAGGGTCCTGCTAAATTGCGTAGGGCCTTGCTGAATTACTGAGGCTGGCTTTGAGCCCATGATCCTCTAGCCTCAGCCTCTAGAGCCGCTGGAATTACAGGCATGTGCCACCGTGCCCAGATTAAGGTCTGAGTCTTTAATGATTATTACTAGTTTTGTTTTAATCATTCCAGCTGCAAGGTTTTTAAAGCTCTAATGCGTACTTTTCAGACTTCTTAACCTGAACAATCTATATCACATGCATAAAATTCACAGGGAAGTCATCAGAGCCCATTGTTCGCTTGGTTAGTTCTGCCATCTTTTCACCAACAGGCCACCGCTATTCACTCTGACCTCAGCCCTCAACCCAACCCCAGTATTCTTGATGTACTTCCAAGGTGCTGAGACCTGAGGAGTCCAGACACATGGTCTAAGTGATAGCAGCACAGAGGACTACTCCATGAGGAATACATGTAGGTTTGTCCCAAGCTCTGTGAGGCCTCTTCTGGCTACTGAGAGTTTCTTCATTTTTTTTTTCTTAGTTCTAAACCACACTCAGGACAACTACAACAATCACTAGACTGTGTATTATTTATGACCACACACGCAGTAAAGCTACCAAAATTCGAATCAAAAAGGAAATCTATGTCTCTCTCTGGGAAGGAAGAGGGAACATACAGGGTGAGACTTCAGCCATGCGTTTTCCTCCTTTAAAAAAAAAAAAAGACATGTAGGAGCTGGGGTCGTGGCTCAGCGGTAGAGCGCTCACCTAGCACATGCGAGGCCCTGGGTTCGATCCTTAGCACCACATAAAAATAAATAAATAAAGATATCGTGTCCAGCTAAAAAATAGATTTTTTTTTTTTTTTTAAAAAAAAGACATGTAGCCAGGCACAGTGGTGCACATCTGTGATCCCAGCGGCTCAGGGGAGGCTGAGGCAGGGGGATCTTGATTTCAAAGCCAGCCTCAGCAACTTAGCAAGGCCCTCAGCAACTTAGCAAGATTCTGTCTCAAAATAAAAAAGTGCTGGGGATGTAATTCAATGGTAAAGCACCTCCCCCCAATAAAAGTAGGACTGGGAGTGGTAGGGCATGCCTAGCATGTAACACAGATAGCAAAATCTATAATCTTATAATCTTAGTATAGTTGCACAAAGTGCTATATTTGTTTCTGACCTGTTCCTGTGCTTAAATTATTTCATCATTTTACATTCTAAAATAAAGATCTTGGATCCACCTTGTGCCCTTTATCACACAAAAGGAAGAAGCAGAGGGGAGCTAACACACACACAGGCGGGGGACCCTTCAGGATGGTCCTTTCCAGAGTGGGGCTCTGTCCACTGCTTTATTAACTAGGTCCACTCCGGTCTCAGCTTCAGAGACCCATATCTTCTCACTGGGAGGGATTCAGATGGAGCAAGTCACCGGTGTGTTCTCCACAAAGATGAGTCTATACAGGCTGCTACGCCTGTAACTTCAAGGACTTTAAGCCAGCATTTCCTTGTGGCTTCCATGAGGGACACTCATTTATCTCACAAAATTAGTTCTACTGTCGAAAAAGCTTGAAAAATAAGCATACTATAAAAATAAAGCAGACTACATATGTAAATTATAGGATCTGTGAATTCTTGAACAGTCAGGGGGCTGTCTGCCACGAAACCCAGGATCTCTTCACCTTCATAGGCATCCCGCCCCATCCTGTGGAGTGTGACCTCTTGGGACAGGCCTTTCTGGTTGAGGTCATCAGTGTATGCAGAATGCCTGACCTCTAGGAAAGGCTCAGTGAAATGTTTGCTGACTGAACCTCCTGGAATACATACATAAATTTCACGGCCAACAAAGTAAATTTGAGAGCTTCTGCCTTGAACTCAAGAAGGGTCCAGTCCAATTCTACCTCCATGCAGGAAGGCTCAGGAAGACATCCAGCATGGATCCCACCATCCTCTCTGATGTGAGCTTTTGAAGCGTTAGTACTACACAACTCACTTTCCACCTGGACTCGTTGCCTCTGTATCAAGTAATCTACTTACATTAGTCTATGAACAAAAGAAATAACTTGGCGTTGTCCTAAAACATGATGAAAACTCCCCACTTCTCAATTTTGACATAGTACTTTGTGATATATAATGAAATGAGCACTTCACCGGTCCAAATTTAAAGATCTACTGCTTTCTTTTTTTCACTTTGCTAAAATGTACATAAATTTACCACCTTAACAATTGTTAAGTGTGCTG